GCAAACAAGGCGATGAACAGTGGAGAATATGCGTTACTCGAGGGGTGAGAATGCACCGCGCAATTAATATGAGGGCCGAATAAAAGTCAATAAGTTTTAGTGAAAAAGCATTGAAAGGTTTAAAATATCAAGGAAAAAAAGGAAAAGAAAAAAAAATCCTGTGGGGGTAGCCATAAGACTAGGCGGAAAACACCAAAACAAGCAGTTATCAAAGAACAAGGAAAAGAAAAAAATATATGAATAAAAAATGGGCTGTATGCGGGATATAGTGAAGTCTATACTTTGCTAATTTACGTATTCTGAGTGACAGCTTATACTCTGCTCGTTGCATATAGGCTTGGATAACTTCTGCCGGCCCAAACTCCGGCACAAATCCAATTCTTTTGTCAGCGAGAATTCTACCTGCACAAAGGCAAATGTTTAAGCGGAAGTTGAAGGGAATTCGAGCAGAACTGGGAACAAATCACGAGATATTACCTACACTAACAGTACACTACCTAGAGATACAAAAGCGTTTTTGCGATCCACGCACTGGATATGACAGTGAAATTAAACGTTTCCCTGCTTTCTAAATGTTTGTCTGTGAAAAGCCCATAGTCTCGCCATTTTTAAACGATGAAGACATCTTATGGAGGTGCAGCATTAGAGGAATTGAGTTTTAAAGTATTGCCACAACCAAAACAAGTCCGGCGTTGTTTGAGCTGGAGGGTACAAGTACTGACCAGTACTTTATCATGTTTTGCACGCCATATTTTCCACAGACCACGGCAGATCCGGAACTCCGCGCCCCGTTTTTTCCACCACACCAAGAGAAAACTATTGAAGAACTTGGTTATGTTTTGCTTTTTATCTATTATCCAGTTTATTCCGGTTCAACTTGTTGTGCTTATTTTGTACCAACTGTTTATTAACCATAACTTATATAGCGCGCAAATACAGAACCAGTTGTCCCGTGCGCAAGCCTCAAAGCGCCGGCCTTTTAGAATTTGAAAAGCAGCCGTGAGAGTACCGTAAGAGGTGGCTATTTGCAGTGGTGATCTAAAAACAAGCAAGTACGTTTTCAATATCGGTGCAAAAGAAATGACTTTGTTTTTGTAATACTCTTTTTCATTTATTCGTTTAACAACGGACAAATTCTTGGGAGGCTGTTTTTTTTTTTTGCAGTGAAACTAAAGGCAAATTCATTTAAGCTTTTTATTTGCTTAGGGCTTTTCTTAGACTGTCAAAAAAGTTTGTCCATGATAAAAGAATGTTGATGAAAGCTGGTAAATTCCGTAACATGACTGGCAATATTATTTCGGTTTTACATTTTACAAAATGAGCCTAACAAAATTTGACATAGGCTGCTCGGACGGAGGCTAACGTCAAAACTCTGTGCAAAATGACTCACTAACAGAAGGAAAATCTGAACTCAAATGTCTTTAGACGACCTTAAAATTGTACTTGGACATCAAGTAATTATAATAGCTTTTAGCTTTTAACTCTCTTAGGCAGTATACATGTAAGTTAAGTGAATTAAGCTCAATCTTATACATACCATTAACGCCAACGTGCTATGGAACAAAATATTGCAAAGCATTATAAAGAGAGGAAAATTACTTAATATTGACCTAATTGTAGAGCAGTGATGAATAAGTTATTAAATGACACGAGGGGTGGTTTGACGCCTTAGAATACTGTCACCTCAAAACTGGTGCGTTATTCTAATGGAAAACACGACTTACTTTGGAAAACAAAAGATTCTTATTACACTAAGTGTATACACTAGTGCTAACATTACACTTTTAATCTTGGTGTATGTTCACCGCTTTATATTCAAGAGTGAGAGTTAATTAGTTTGATGCGGCACAAAATTTCCAAATCGGCTGAGGTTTCAATTAAAGTGACTATTTGTAAACCAGACAATTTGGGGATTGTTCTCTGCTTTTCATGGACAGTTTTTTTCTGATTTGCCCATTTGAATGGGTTTTATTGGAGGTACCAAAATACCGATACATACATCATCTTTTTTGTCAAGGGGTGGGACAGAACCTGTTAGGCACCAAACATTATTGAGGCAATCTTAACAAAACGCGTGAAATCTTTTGTTCGGTGAAGAACAAGTTGCGTTTAAGAGGCTCTGTGAGTGCGCTAGAAACCCAGAAATTAAGCACCTCTTGCTTAGGGCTCGGATCGGGTCAGGTGAGGTTTTATGATTAAGTTAAATCTTCTAAGACACCCTTAATATTCGTTTAGTTGGTACATGTATGTTGTGATGTCAAAACGTTTTTTTAGTAACAACTAGGTCCAAAAATATCTTTCGTTAACTACTGTAGAAAACCACGTGTTGGATCAACGCTGTGTAAGCGACTGTTTAAACCAAACGAATACCAATAGTACTCTGTAAAATGGGCGACTTATTTAACAATAACGAATATATACTTCTACAAAAAAGGCCACAGTACTATCCAAAAACGAAGCCAGCAAGAGATTAACATTAGATGTTAGTTCGTTTTGGTTGAAGCTGTTCAAAGTTCCTTCAGATATAACAAAACAATTAAACTCCAGTCATACTTCGTTGAACATTTTTGTTCTTAGACAGATCGCTAACTAGCTACAAGAAACGTGTTCATACTGGTTAGAGTTTTTTTTTTCTTCAAAGTATATAGAGCCGCCAAATCTATAAATCAACCTACACCCCAAAACGTCCATTTAGCAAGTGTGTTTTATATATTTAGAAGGAAATTGTTACACTATCAAATTTACCTCTAAAACCTGAAGATACGATAAAAAAAAGGACTAGAAAAACAAATGTCAAAATACCAGAGAACAGAAGAAAAAAGTCCAAAGCAAAAGAGGTCATGCATTTTCATGAATATGCCAACTTTTGCT